GGTTTTTTTTTTTTTTTCTTTTTTTTTAATATAAGAATCTAGCTGCTAGGGGCACCTGGGTGGCTCACTCCGTTAATCGTGGGACTTCAGCTTCGGTCATGATCTCCTGGTCAATGAGTTCGAGCCCCTTGGGCTCTGCACTGACTGCTCAGAGCCTGGAGCCCTGCTTTGGGTTGTGTCTCCCTCTCTTTCTGCCCCTCCCCCACTCATGCTCCGTCTCTCATTCACAGTCGCTCAATATCCAGGAAGATAATTGAATCAATCATAGACCTGTTGTGTGTCTCTGGTCTCCCTTTCTCTGGAAAAAACCCATATTATTTCTTGAAAGAGCAGTAATCCCATGGCAGAACAGAGGCATGGCCAACCGGAGCATCTCACAACTCTGGCCCACGACTGGCCCAACTGTAAGGTTACCTAACCCAGGCAAGACCAGTCACATGGAGGTGTTGGGAGCCCTTGCTTCACCTGGGCTGTAGTTTGGGGAACAGTCACAGCCATCACATCCCTTTCCATGGTTTGGGAGAAGAGCAGGGCACACTGAACTCCAATCACGCAAGACAGTTCGGCCCACCCCAGTGGCATTGTCTCAACAAGTGAATGCAGCCTGGCCTGAAGCTGCACTTCGCTTTTCATCTACAAGAACCTGGCCACTCCCTTCTGTTCAGTGGGTAGGTTTTCTGTCACTTGCAACCAAAAAGATCCCAGAACACACGGTAACTGTTGTGGAGCTGGGTTAGGGATTCTCAGATTTTTACTTTGATGATCAAAACGCACAAAGAAGAACAAAAATTACAGTTCACAAACTGGTGACGGGATGTGGGCTGGAAAACACCGGGAATGGGTGCCCAGGGTCCCTGGGATGCTTCCTGGAATCTTGAGTTTCTTGCCAGGGCCCCCAGGTGCCCCGGGAGCCTCCTGGAACCCTCCCCATCAGGGTGCCACAGAGCCTGGTTTGAGAACCATTCTCCAAGCCAAGGGTTTCGCTGCACAGGAAGGCTGAGAGGCACGGGGATGGTTCAGACAGTGGCTTCAACCTCAGTGGCTTCATCGTCCTCCTCCAGCAGGCTGTAGGAGGCATGACTCTGGCAGGGCCGCTGCAATGGGTGAGCCAGCAGCTTAGCCATACAGTTATGCAGCTCAAGGGCCGGCCCAGCCAGCGCCACCTCATACTTGTAGCTGGTCCCCTTGGTATCCAGGCTGCCCATGAAGGCAAACATGTCCTGTGGGGCCAGAGAGGGGCTGTTCAGGCAGAGGTTCCCCTGACGGACCCTCTCTGCCCCCGGAGGGCTTCCCTGAGGAGGGAGCATCAGAGATAGGTTCCGAAGGATGAAGAGGCGTTTGCCAGAAAGAAAGCATTCCCACAGTCAGCAAATGTTCCCTGCCACCCACCCAGTGTTAGGGACTCCAGGAGGTCTCAGGCCTGGAGCCCCTAGTCTGGAGAAGCACGGTTGGATGCAGACTACCGCCAGCCCCCACGCTAATCATCCCTGACGAACAGAGACTTTTGGTCTGGGTGCCGAGGCAGCAGTAGGAGCCAGTCTCAACTCCGCCTGTTCACAGTTGGGTAAACTGAGGCTCAGAGGGAAATAGCCTATTCAAGGTCCTACAGCTAGGTCAGGGCTGGGATATAAAGGACCAGCAGGGCCTGGGAAGGCACGGAGGGAAGGGTGCTCCAAGCACAGGGCCCTGTGAGAGCAAAGGCAGAAAGAGAGAAGCAGGAGAAGCTAAGGATGAGGTGGGCAGGACCCTACGTGCTCAAGGGGCCACCATCACGATGGCCCCCGCTAGCTCACGGCAGCCAGGCAGAAATGGTTGTGGAATGACTAAATGACCACACCCAGCAGGGCCAGGGCTCCAGGGCTGCAAAACGGAGGTGGGATTCCCCAGGCCCAGGGCAGGGGGGTTCTGAGACACCCCATCTACACCGACCTGCCACCCACACGCACAACGGCCTCTCACCTTCCAGCTCATTTCCTCCTCTTTCTCGTCGGCGCCATTGTGGATGTAAACAACATCGAAGAAGAAATACGGGCACTGGAACATTTTCTGCAGCAGAACAGCAGCCTTCAGGGCTCGAGTCACCCCATGCCCCTGTGACAGTTCCCCAGCTTCTGTCCTGGACTCTGGGAACCTGCCTATAGGCACCCAGCTCTTGTGATCAGGAAGTCCCTCCTCGTGCCTAGCCACCACTCTGCTGGCTGCATATATCCCTCCCTCTCCCGGGCCCCACTCACCTTCATGGGCTCCGTCAGGGAGAACTGGGGCTGGCAGGGCGGACGGCTATAGACCAGGATGGTGCGGACCACGTATGGGGGCGGAATTGTCTGCACATTCTCCGTGACTGGCAGCTCGGTCTTCTGCTGGCTGCATAATGGAGGGTGGGGGACAGGTCAGAGCACTGGGGATCCGCCCTTCTCGTCACCCTCAGAGAGCCCAGGCCTTCAATGGGCATGCAAAGCCCCACATGACCCTTCCCAAGTTCACTGCTGCCTCTGAGCCTTCCTACATGCTGTTCCTTCTGCCTCCCAGCCTCACCCTTCTGCCTGACCTCTCCTGCTCTATCAGGGAGACTTCGCTGACCCCAAAGCTGGAGCCTGCTCTGACCACCCTCACGATCCTGAACATCCCCCCCCTGCATTGCTGACCTCAGGTGCACCTGTCCCACCAAGCCAGAAGACTCTAAGGCAGGGACCCAATCTTATCTGCTAGGTTAGCACCAAGGTCCCCCATCGGCCACAGCTGGATCTCACATTAGGCAGAGGGCTGATGTCTTTAATATGTGAAAAGCAAATCTGATCATTAATAAGAAAAAAGCTGACACCTCCCTAGGAAGACAGGCAAAGGGGACCAACAGACAAATCACTGCAGGAACACTGACTGGCTTACAAATGAATGAAAAAAAAGGCTCAGGGAAAAGCACAGCGAAAGCAACAGGTGACCCCTTGCCACCATCAGACAGAACCTTCAGCAGCGCGAACAACCCCGGTGCCGGGGGAGGTCCACAGGGCTGGTTTCCTGGGAAGGTTCTCTGGCAGAGCCTAGCAGGTTAAAAATACACACCCCTTTGATCCAGCATGACTTCCACTGAGTATTTACAGGACGGCTTCACTGGCAAAATTTGCTGAGACAGTTGTACCAGGTTAATCACAACGGAAGAGGCAAGACAAGGTCCATACCCATTTTAGGGGGCTGGGGAAAACAGGGGTTGGACTACTAGGACCCATAAGCTAAACTTGGTTTTTACGTTTTTAAAGGGCTGGGGGGAAAAATTCAAAAGTAGAACATTTTGCGACGCGCGGAAATGACATGAAATGCAAAGTCCAGTGTTCATCAGTAAAGTTTTTTTGGTACACGGCCACAGCCGCTTGGGATAGGTATGGTTTGTGACCGGTCTCAGATTACTCCAGCAGAATCAAAGTCACTGTGACAGAGACCACATGGCCTGCAAAGCCGGAAATGTTTCCTGTCTGGCCCTTTACGGACACTTTGCTGCCCCCTGGATTAAAACAACGGTATGGGGGACCTCAGGGCCGTCGCAGACTAAAATGGAAGGCGAGATGAGGGGAAGGCAGTACTTACATGAGGCTGAAGAGACCTTCCAGATCTGGCAGGGATGCTAAGGAGAAGGCTGGTGGCAGAGCATGGGCAGAGCATCATCCTGGTGACAGGAGAGCCTAAGCACCTTCACACCTGCTGGGTACCACTGTGCAGGAGACATGCTGTGTGACCCTGGCCCAGTCACTTGCCCTGCCTGAGCCTGTTTTCCCTCAGCATGGATCGCAAAACAGAAAGCCAGCACTGGATGCCCTGAAAACCCTGGGTGACTCAAAGTTCCTCTTTCCCTCCCAGCCAGGGAAGCTGTCCTCACAATGAGAGCCATGGGTGGGGTGTCCCCATTCCCTACCTCCTAACACTCAGCATTGTTTTCTTTTTTTTTTTAAACATTTA